ATTTCCATGAAAAAAAAACAGTTTTATTTTAACATCGCAACATCTGTATGTAATCAATAACAATTCACACTATTTAGTCTGTTCTTCACCTATTGTTAACTGAAACTGAGAATATGACATATTGCATCACACCACATTGGGTCTGACATTTGCAGTAGAACTATAGAGCTTACACCTTCTTTTTTCCTGTGTGGTCTCTAATGCATTATTAGTGTTAAAGAAGTAACTGTCCTTAAATAGTTAGACTTGTTATTTAATTAGAGCTCTTTGTTTCTAATAGTTTTTACTTCTACAGAAAAACAGACAAAAGTCTTGTACGATTGTATTTAAAATTGGAGGTGGATGTTATGTTTTATCTTTACTTAATTCCATTGCAGGAAAGAAAAGACAGCTTTAAAACACTCACAGAGTTATTTACTAAATTAAGAATTTACTAAATTTACTAAATTAAGAATTTTAAGTGAATTAAAAATAAATTTCAAATATAAGGCCACAGTACCCAAACTGATTGTATTGCTGACTCAGATAATTTTTCCAGTTCAACTACTTTGACTTGAAATTTGAAATGCACTGTGAATTCATCTTGAATTCTCACTCTGATAAACTTGAAATATCACTTCACCATAAACATGCGATAAGTGTAACTTCCAATATCTGGTCATAACAAACCTAAGTCTACGCAATTCCTCTCCTAGTACAACATGGATCCTTCTGGACCGTGAGGACTGTGAAATTCCAGGAACAGATGTGGAAAAAAAAATGTAACAAAAAATGTTGAACTGAAATAAGTATCATATTCTCTTTATGTTCCATTTGTCATATTCTCTTTATGCTTTGCCATTGCAGGTTTTTTTAATGTTTGAAACAACAGAAACAAAATTAATTTGTCATACACTTTCAGAAGAATTAGATCAGAACTCCCTAATTGGGTACCTGTAATTATTGGAATCCCCAGTAAAGCCACCAAATTGGAGAGCAATCTACTAAACAGCCAAAGTAGTAAAACTAAGAAAAAACTCTATTTCTAAATTTTGCAGTTTCAGCTGCTTAGTAGATAAGTCCATACTTTGATACCCCTTATAAATATTATTATTATTATTATTATCATTTTTATAAAGCACCTACAAATTGGTACAATGGGTGGACTAACAGACACGCATTTGTAACCAGATGAGTTGGACACACAGGAAAAGAGGGATTGAGTTTACATGCTAGAGGGAGTGGGGTCAAGTGACACAAAAGGCCAGCCTAGGGTAGAAAAGTAACAGAAGAAAAACAGAACCTAATATGCTCCACTAACTAAGCAGGAGGAGCACAGTATTGTGTAAAGAGATACAAAAAAAACCCTAATATTTATTAAATCTAAACATGAAGATCAAAAAACATCTATACATATAAGGTAGCGCTAAACAGGCCAGGAGGTAAGTGGAAAGAAAAATAGACAATATGTATGATGTACAGGCTATCCACCTAATAAAACCACCCCCGGACAGGCAGGTATCCATAGGAGGGTAGTAACAATAAATCCCTTTACAATCACATAATAATGTAATGGAGAGGGTGTGTGAGGAGTATAAAGTAGGTATACTCAAAAAAATTTCCACTAGACCAGAGGCCCAGTCCTATAGGCACATCTTCCCAAACAAATATATGTGAGGTTACTTATAATCCACTAAGGAGAAAGTAGGGAAATATCCAGTAACCAATGGCCCTTCTCAAAACGAAGGAAAAAGAAAGGAAAATGAGCCTAACAAATTAAGAGGGTGCACTAATTGTGGGGGTAATCCCATGTGAGAAACAAATAGAACAAAGGAGAGCGGTGTACCTCAAAGGGAACTAGAAAACCAAAAAGTATACTATGTATGGTATATTATGTTTCTAATGGGGTGCCAGTAATACCCTCACTAGACTAGGTAATATAGTAATCTAAAAAACAAATACATTTTATTAACGAGAAAAAGACAATACTATCGTTTAAAAAGTGCTCGAAGTGCTCAGAGTACAAACGTGCTAGAATTGCAAGTATATGTAAAGTAGACAGAATAAAGGATCGTGAATTGCTATATTTAGCCCATAATTGATACCAAAAAAATACTCTCCACCATTACTTGTACGGATGAAACTAAAGGCGACTTACACGTCTGTATACTGCATAATCCTATATCGGGCATAGTGGTTGTGAGTGCTTAATAAAGCATACTATCCGAGTGGTTTTTAAGATCTAATATGATGGAAAGTCTATTACTAGTAATCGAATACAAGAGTTAACCACTAAGTTGCTGCTGGGGAACTTAACTCCAACCTCTCAGTTGTAAGGTCTGAGGTCTTAAACATGTCAGTTAGCTTGTATCAATCGTTGGACTAGGCTGCAAACAGTATATGTATGGGGAATAGGAGAGGAGAAAAAAATCAAACTAAAACCAAACCTGTCTCTATACCCCACCTACAAAACCGTACACCGAAAAGAATCCATAGTAAAGCATAATAGCTTAAGTGAAAAGGTGCTTTAAAAAGTGCGGCCAAAGTGATTACTGCAGCATATCAGTTTGCTGTCTAGCACGGTAGACGGACAGCATAACCAAAGCCCCTGATGCGCGCGTTTCGCCCGACCTCGCTCCTCAGAGGGGAACCAGCTGGTACTGAACGGCATAGGGCAGCACAAAACCAGGATACACCACTGTGTGAACCCTTTGGAATGATATGGATTTCTGCACAAATTGGTCATAAAATGTGATCTGATCATCATCTAAGTCACAACAATAGACAATCACAATCTGCTTAACCTAATAACACACAAACAATGAAATGTTGCCATGTTTTTATTAAACACACCATGTAAACATTCACAGTGCAGGTGGAAAAATTATGTGAACCCTTGGATTTAATAACTAGTTGAACCTCCTTTGGCAGCAATAACTTCAACCAAACGTTTCCTGTAGTTGCAGATCAGACGTGCACAACGGTCAGGAGTAATTCTTGACCATTCCTCTTTACAGAACTGTTTCAGTTCAGCAATATTCTTGGGATGTGTGGTGTGAATCGCTTTCTTGAAGTCATGCCACAGCATCTCAATTGGGTTGATGTCAGGACTCTGACTGGGCCACTTCAGAAGGCGTATTTTCTTCTGGCAGATGAAATTTAGTGTTGAAAAGTGCAAAGTTATGCATTTCGGCGTAAAGAATACACAAGCAACGTATACCCTTAATGGAAGCGAATTAGGGATAACAACACATGAAAAGGACTTCGGAATTGTTATAGACAACAAACTATGCAACAATGTGCAATGTCAATCAGCAGTGGCCAAGGCCAGTAAGGTACTGTCATGCATGAAAAAGGGCATTCATTTTCGAGACGAGAATATAATTGTGCCTCTTTATAAATCACTGGTAAGACCACATATTGAATATGCTGTGCAATTTTGGGCAACTGTTCTAAAGAAGGATATTATTGCACTAGAAAAAACGCAGAGGCGGGCTACAAAATTAATAAAAGGAATGGAACATATCAGCTATGAAGAAAGATTAACAAATTTAAACGTATTTATTTTAGAAAAACGGCACCTGAGAGGGGATATGATAACATTATACAAATATATTCGGGGCCAACACAAACCATTGTGTGGAAATCTATTCACAAACCGGACTTTACATAGGACACGAGGTCATGCGCTTAGACTGGAAGAAAGAAGATTTTGTCTAAGGCAAAGGAAAGGTTTTTTTACTGTAAGAACAATAAGGATGTGGAATTCTCTGCCTGAAGAAGTGATTTTATCAGAGTCCATACAGATGGACTTCAAACAGCTACTAGATGCATACTTGCAAAAACAGAATATTCAAGGATATAATCTTTCAATGTACGGTAATAACTGCTTGATCCAAGGATAAATCTGACTGCCATTCTGGGGTCAAGAAGGAATTTTTTTCCTAGCTTGTTGCAAAATTGGAGGTGCTATAAACTGGGCTTTTTTACCTTCTTTTGGATCAACAGCAAACAGTAACTATGTAATTGCATAAATAATAACACATAGAATTTAGGTAGATATATAAGTAAAGCCCTATATTTAACCCTATAAGATTCCAAAACACCATAAAACCTGCACATGTAGGGTACTGTTTTACTCGGGAGACTAATGATGATATCATCATTTAAACTAAGTAGCCACTTAGTCACAAACACTGGCCAAAATTAGCGTTCAAATTAGTATTTTGCAGTTTTCACAAACAAACAAATATGAACGCCAGCTTTGACCTGTGTTTATGATTAAGTAGATACTAAAAAAGCCTGGACATGCCCCATTTGTAATACCTTGCGTTGTCTACTTTTGCAAATGGAATGCTATCATGGGGGTAATTCTCATTCCTGGGCTACCATACGCTCTCAAAAGCAACATAACCAACCTGGCAAATTTCAATGTGTATAAACTGAAAAATGTGATGTGCTATATTTGACCCTGTAACTTTACAAAACACCATAAAACCTGTACATGGGCGGTACTGTTTTACTTGTAAGACATCACTGAATACAAATATGTGTACTTTACTGCAGTAACCACTAACAGTATTATGACATTCACAGTTAAAATTCCACGCAAAACTCAAATTTAAAAAAAAATAAAAAAATCTTAATTTCTAAAAATGTTTTAGATTTTATTCATATTAAATTATGTTTCATATCTAAACATTTGATTTAAAATAAAAACTTATTTTCCTGAGTAAAATGATATATAATAAGGTTGGGTGCGCTAAATGTAAAAGAGTTGAGTTATGGTTGAACAGGCAAATAGCACACATTTTAGGTTTTGTTTACATTTTGTTTTGATCACAACTTGTACAATTAGCTCTGTCCTAAAGGGAAATGTGGTGATAAATGCAAAACAAAACATGTGCAATTGCTAAAATGTATTAAGTTAATTAAACAATATTATTATTAAAAAACAAAAAAAAAGATTGAAGTTAAAGATATGAAAATGTATTGCTTTCTAGTGAAGGATTGACTTGTAGTCAAAGATCACTGTGAGAACATCCATCTATGTGCTGTCGATGTTTGACCACACTGTTTCCTTCCTTTAATCTTGTTTTAGTTCAAATGATTTGTTTAGATTTTTTATTTCTTGCTCACTGATGGAAACGTTGTATATCTTATGGTTGTTTTCCTTAAACTGTGAAGAAAAAAAGAAAGAAAACTCCCACTCATAACAAAGCCTGATTGCATTTTGCTTCCATAAGGCTAGTCTGGGTGGCAGAGTTCAAATGGAGAATACTGTAGATCCTTTTTACTTGTAAATACTTTAACATTTTTGGTATGCACAGAAAATAATAAATTATTTAAAACAGAAACTATGATGAAAAGTTAGTGCATTCAGTGCCTTTCGAAGTAAGCACTGCAGAACTGCAGATTTCCTGTAACATTCACACGATCAGCATAGCTGTACTCTGCTCTCCCACCACTACCTGAACTTTTTATAACAAGTCACATAACACTGGACTGGTAATATGTGCCATGCAGAATACATAATAATGTATATAAAACAGTGATAGTTACTTATTTTGGACTGTTTCTACTGATAGAAAAAAAAATTGACTTGATGATCATTTTGTGTTTTTTCTATGAATTATATGACATTCCTAGCCTTTTTCAGCTGCTTTCCAAGATACCCTACAGTTGTCTATCAGCAGAGGCCACAATACATTGCAAGTAAAGTGTGACAGTCCAGAGGAGGTTGGAGAGATACTTTGTGGGATTGAGGGGACATTGTGGC